AACTATCAGTAAAATATCAATCTTTCTAGTTAAGGTAACATCCCCTTTTAACATCTAACAAGGTCATAAATTTATTAGCATTGTTTCTATCTAAGCCTACTCCATGATATCCTCTCATTAACATGTAATGCGTTTTCAACCAATTTTGAAAACCAATTTTGAAACCCAATTTTGAAACCAATTTTGAAAACCAATTTTGAAAAAAACCAAACACATATCAGCATGGTACAGTTTATATACAACTCCCATCATATCAGGAAAAAGAACCATGTGTTGAAGAAATGTTTCTTGATCTTTTAAGTATGTTAAACGAGGGTTTATAACATTTTTATATTCCTGCATTTTTAGTTTTTTTTTCCATCACATACATATTGATTATAACATAAGTCACGGAACCCAATGTTCTTAGTTTCCCTACTTTGAGGGAGCATTCTCCTTCACAATTAAGACAAGCATATTTGCCTGAATGGCTTGAAAGTCCAAAAACACTGTTTTCACATCTTAAATCAAACACTGAACTAAAATTTACTTCTTTGAGTTTCAAAGGCGCCAATAATTTTTGGAGGTTGCCATTACCCTCCTGAATCATCTCTACAATCACAAGGATAACAACAAGGAAACAAGAAACAATGTCTCGCACCAGAATCTTCATACATTTCAGATGAAGAATAAGGTTTTTTTGGATCAAAAACACTGATAACTTTAAGGAAGTTTTGTCCACCATCTATAGATATTTTTACTATTGTATTAGAGGTATCAATACCTCTTTTATCAATTATAAATTTGATAAACTCAGTTATATTCTTGCCATAAACTATATCTCTAAAAACTATTTCATCACCGTTAAGGAGTACTTCAGTTTTACATTCATATAAAGTATCTAGAGTATCCTGTAATTCAGTCATTTTAATATTAATGTTTAATTCTACATTAGTTAGATTACTGGGTAAAATAAAACACAATTTTTTAGTTTTGTTCTTAGAGAGCTAATATGTTTGATAGTTCCATAGTAGCTTGGAATGAAACTTGATTTACTTTCTTTCTTTTCGACTTATTTTCATTTACTCCAACTGTAACAGTGAGAAGGTTTCCGCTAGTAGACAACATGAACTGCACTTGCTATGTTTTCACATTCCATTTTATGTTTTAACAATCCAGAAGCAATTTGTACTGCATATTTATATCTGAGTGATTCGCTAATATCAATGATATTATTAACAGCTTTACTTTTGCAACAATCATGAGAAACTCCTCTACCTAAAAGTAACTTGAAATTACATAAAAAATAATAATATACTGAATAAAACTGTAATGTAACATAAAAGGAATCAAACTTCAATTAATTTTATTTAAATTATAAAATCATAGTATTAACATACCATGATTCATATAGCAAAGCCCACAGATTTTTTCATTCACATTTGAAAAATTCAATTCTGGATCAACATTTGTCTGGATACATAGTAGTGAGGAGATTTCTAATAGTATTTCTATTTATCTAAAATACAAAAGTACTTTATAAATTAAATCAGTGCTAATATGTTTATGCATTAAAACTACATGATTTTTATCTTCTTTATATATATATCTATATATATATATATATATATATATATATATATATATATATATACATATACATATATATATATATATATATATATATATATATATAATATATATATATATATACATATATATATATATATATATATATATATATATATATATATATATATATATATATATATATATATATTTATATTTATATATTTCTCACGATGCTCACTTATATTAGGCTAGCAAAAAAAGTGAGCAATTGCGCATATAAATATGTTATAGTAGTTATAATATATATATATATATATATATATATATATATATATATATATATATATATATATATATATATGCACACATATCTCTGTGTGTATGTGTGGTGTGTAAAAATGTTTACAGCAATTTAACTTTTTGGTAAATATATACACTCAAAATAAATCTGCATATAATAATAATAATAATAATAATAATAGTTATATATATATATAAACACACACACACACACACACACACACACACACACACACTCAAACAAAAGTAGCAATTCATATTAATGTACCTTTGATATAGTTTCTAACCAGTTGAAAAGATAAATAAATAAGTTCTTTCTGCAGTTGGAACAAACTATTGTAGGACAAACTTCAAGATCAGAATCAAAGTTTGGCCAGATGTATTCTTGAATTTTTAACATCCTGAAGGTGTTATAGATTTTGATCTGATACCTTTATTTATCAAGCAAACTGCACAAGTACATAATTTGAAATCTGACGTCATGTTGAAAAGTGATAGTTATATCTTGAAAGCAGCCATAAGTAGCCTATTTTGACTAGTTCAGATTTTTCTGACAACTAAAGTTGTGTTTACTAATGCATTTGATTGATTAAATGCAAAAAAATCAGAAGTGGGAAGAGTTTCAACCTGGCGGTCAATTAGGAGAACA